CTGTTTCTGTCATTTCTGTATTTATGAGTTTACATCTTTTGTAAAAAGAGCTTTCACTTCTCATCCCATAACCATCTGTCTAATCTTATCCAATCACCTATCTGGCTACCTGTTGAACATATCAGTATGGTTCATTATTTTTGAAATGAATAACTTATAATGAATCTTTCAGTACATGCTGTTATTGACTCAGATTTGCCAGTAGAATCTCTGTCTGGCTGACTCCTGCATTCTTTTGAAATTACCCCTCAAGTACTTAAGTACTTTACTACTCTTGACACGGCCAGTGATTTCAATCTCACCTCATGTTTTCTTTGTCCTGCCTGGAAGAAACCAGTTTTCTATGTAGACCTAGTTCCTCTGGAGCTGCCATTTAGGGAGGCATCAGTAGTTTTATGAAAACTCCCCAGGTGATTTCAGTGTGCAGCTAAGAATGAGAACCACTGGATTAAAGCCCTCCAAGGGGAGACCACCTGTTTCCACAAGATGGTTTTGTTTTTTGTTTTTTCCATCACCTGTAATTTGTGGTGCTGATTTGTTGTTAGAGTTTAGATTTGTATGAGTGTTATCATAAAACACTCATAAAGACAGGTTGAAATACAGGTCCTAGACCCCCAACCCCACAGAATGAGTTTAATAGGTCTTCCCTGCATTTTAACATTCTGTGTCTCTGAGGTCTCCTAGTCTGTAAAAAGAAGGAAGGGGGTAGTAATCTACCTTGGAGGTTCAATATAAGGATTAAATAAGGTAATTTATATAAAGTGTTTAGCAGTCTATGGCACATAGTAAATGCTCAATAAATGTTACTGTTATTATTAAACAATGCTGTCACAAATGGAAGGTGGCTGTGGGGTTTGGTGGGAGAGCCTAGGGTGTGCTATCTCGGTTATCAGATCAACTGTTGTGGTATTACAGTGCTTGTGTTCAAGTGACCTTTATTTTACTTAATACAGTAATTCCCTCTTATATTAATGTATGGGAGGATACATTCCAAGACCCCCAGTGGATGCCTGAAACCATGGATAGTACCAAACTCTCTATATAATATGTCTTTTCCTATATATGCATGCCTATGACAAAGTCTAATTTATTAATTAGGCACATTAAGAGACTAATGTCAATAACCAATAATAAAATAGAACAATTATAACAACATATGGTAATAAAAGTTATGTGAATGTGATCTCTCCTTCTCTCTTACTGTACTGTAGTCACCCTTCTTGTGATGATGTGAGATGATAGAATGCCTACATGGTGAGATGAAGAGAGGTGAATGACACAGGCATTGTGATTGTAGTTTTAGGCTACTATTGACTTTCTGATGATATGCCAGAAGGAGGATCATCTGCCCCTGGTGGTCCTGCATCATGGAGCCACAACGATGTCCATGGTTGGATGTCAGGAGAAGAAAGTGTCGATGACTCATATGCAGGGAGCATCTACAGAGTGGAGATGCTGGGCAAAGGGATGATTCACGCCCTGGGCAGGATGGAGCAAGATGACATGAGATTTCATCACACTGCTCAGAAGAATGTGCAATTAAATCTTATGAGTTGTTTATTTCTGGAATGTTCTATTTAATATTTTCAGACCTCAGTTGACCACAGGTAACTGCAGAAAGTAAAACTGTGGGTGGAAGGGGGGACTGTTGTAAAATGTGTTCAAACTGGAGTTTGTATCAAGAACTCCATCCCCGGTTCATCTGGGCATGAAGCGGATATCTCAGACTAAGGGATTTTAAACCACAGGCATAGCCAAACCATATTTTTTTCCTCAGTTTATCCCAGCTGTTGAAAGGAAGTGGCATTGTTGTCTACCTACCTCTTTAAGGAAGATTAAGACTCACTAGTAAACATCTGTGAAATGCCAGGAGAGGAAAAATATGGCAAATGACATCCTTAAACTTTCTTATACATTTAAGATAGACAGATGCAACTGAACTACAATTTCTCTCAATTTCAGGCATCCTCCTTGAATTGGGTTGTAGGCCAGGGAGGACTGGCAAACAAGTTCAAATCAGTGGCATGCCATAGTTGAGGCCTAGAAAAGCAACATTCCAGGAGTTTGGGAGCTCTCTGTATTGAGATCCATGGCAAAGACCTAAGTGATTTGGTGTAGTGTTGCAGGAAGCAGTTAAGTACAGATTGCAGAGAATTTAGCACAAGATGTGAATTGAATCAGTTCATCCAGCACTGGAAAGAGAGCTCTGAACTCAGGCCAAGGAAATATTGCCACTCACTAGCTCAGTGATCTGGGGTAAATCATTGAGCCCTGGATTCCTCATTTGCAAAGTAGTTACTCATTCTGACTCTTTTCTTTTTAACTAATGTAGTTGCCAGGATGAGTAAGGGTGATGGATACCAGAAGCACTTTAGTAGTGATTATGAGCCATCCCAGTGGGAGGAGGCATGAATGTTTGTGACTGGAGTCAGGTCAGGTGATCTTTACCACCAGCTACCTCTGGGCCCCCCCCCCCGCACCCTTTTTCGGGCTTGCTTTTCTTGGTATGTTGGCAGTGTGCTTTACAGCAGGGATCTCCAACCCCCAGGCCATGGACCAATACCTGTCTGTGGTCTTTTAGGAGCTGGGTTGCACAGCGAGCCAAGTTTTGCCTTCCGTCAAATCAGCAGCAGCATTAGATTCTCATAGGAGCATGCAAGGGATCTAGGTTGCATGCTCCTTATTGAGAAACTAATGCCTGATTATTCTTGCCCCCCTCACCCACCAGTCCGTGGAAGAATTGTTCTCCCTGAAACTGGTCCCAGATGCCAAAAATGTTGGGAACCACTGCTTTATAGGACTTTATGCCACCAATGTATAGCTATCTTAAAGGTTTTTAAGAAATATTGACTAGCCTGGCAAAGAGAAAGTAGCGAATACATCCTTTTTCTGATACCAGGCAGGCCTTTATGGAAGTCTGATGAGGAGATTTGGTTCAAGAGGAATCTGATCATTCTTTCAGGTCCTAAATCCATAATAGATCATTCTCTCCTTTGAGGTCTCGCCAAGTTGGCCTGGCTGTTCTCGAACCCGTGGTTTCGGGCAATCCCCTCACCTCTGCCTCCCAAAGTGCTAAGATTACAGACTTGAGCCACCACACCCAGCCTATTTTTAAGTTACTTTGATCAGGGTTTTGACTTCTGTGTTTGCAAGTTGGTTTTCAGACGTTTGTCATTTTACTTGTTTCATATTCAGATTTGTGTCTGCAGAGTTTGCTTTTAATATAACATCTGGCAAATTAAAACTCCTAAATATTAATAGTAGAACTTTATTTTAAGAGGTATCTGTGGGACATAGGGGATTGTAGGGGTCAGGAGAGGGATGCCAAGATCACTGTGTCATCTAGACTTTCTTTTCTAGAATGAGAAATCTGTATTCTTTTTGGCACAGAGTACTTGATTTGCCTTTTGTCATGTATGAAGTCACAGAGTAGTGGTGGTATTCTTTGCACTGGAATACCACTCCTCCTGTCTTCACACCTTGGAGAAGGCATGGGCCCTGTGTCCCAGGGAGAGCCAGGCCCTTGTTGGAATTGCACTACTCAGCCTGGGAATTGGCCTGAGAATGCTGTGTTTGTTTGTAAGACCCAGAGGCTTGTAATTTTACACAAGGGGGTGGAGAGTTTTTATGTAGTTACCAAAGATGTGATTAGACAAGATATTGATTCTGAACTTCTGCCCTCTTGCCTCTGTTCAACTCTGCTCTTCCTTAGTGCAGTACAGGAAGAGAAAAATGGAACGGAGAGAGCTAGGCTGCTGGCTTTTGAAAAATATTGATCAGGGAGTACGTCAGATGCAGCGCAGAGACTGTCCCCTTTGTATGATGTCGTGCTGTGTGGGGGCCTTAATGTGCCCTGTGATCGCCCCTGCATGAACTTCCTTTCTCAGGTAAAATATTAGAAAAGAAAAAGAATCCCTGTAGGTAGTATCCAAAAATAAGGTAAGCATTTCTAAATGTGTTTCTTTGAAGTCATTGGTCCCTTTGGTTTTCTAGGCCATGTAGTGGCATGAAGGAATAGCGTGAGGTGGTCAGGCATGAGGAACAAACTTCTGGCAATGCCAGTCTCACTGCTTATCTCCCATCTATCTCTCCTTGGCTTGGGCCTTCACTGCCATCTGTCTGCCTGTCTGTCTATCTCTCTCTTTCTCTCTCACCAGTCCCCCGTATGCGCTTTCTCCTCACAGTGCACCATCTGTGGTATGGATGTGCTGTGGACAGTTGTGTCTGTATTTGAACCAGCTCTAAGTCAGGGGCTTTCACATGGTCCACACTGGGTGAGTGCGATGGTGTAACCTTGAGTGTCCTCTGGTCAAGTGAAGTGTGTCCCTGGCTTTTATCTTGATTTTCCTGGGTTAGTTCTGAAAAAGCAGCCAGGGATCCTGTTAATGGATCCCTTGGGACAACAGGAAGAGGAGAGAAGTGAATTTGTTGGACCCTGTGGGGCATTTGAAATGGTATCAAGAGCAAGCTGAAATCTAATCAGCCTTTGCTTATCAGGGCCAAGTTCCAGCATGTTGAAAGGGTGATGATTAGTATGAAAAAGGCCAGGATACTCTATCTTTTCCCTTGCACATTTGGAAAAATTCCCTCTGCCTTGCTAGCATTAGAAGCAGACCATTCTTTTTTCTCTAGCACGTCACATCAGCTTCCATAAAAAATCAACAGCAGCAAATAAAAAGCCCCATCCATGGAAAACCGTTTAAGGCAACACTGTGCTCCAGTGCTTCAGGGGTGGGGTTTTTGCCTTCTGCACCAGTGGATCAGTTTCTCATATCCATGCCTCTCTGACCCAGCAGCTTTTAAAAGACCAAGAAGCATTGCTCTGCTTTCTACTGCCTCTCTCTCTAAAAGACCAGGGCTGCCATGCCTTTAGCCATGTCCCAGAGAGCATATTTGAGACAAGTCAGCTTAATTTGCCTGCATGCCTAGGAAGCCTCTCTTTAAAATCTTGCTTTGGGAGGAAAACTGTATCTAAATATTTGTTTTTCCCATCCAGGCGAGCGACGGAGGCGCCGATGCCAGGTGGCATTCAGCTACCTGCCCCAGAATGACGATGAACTTGAGCTGAAAGTTGGTGACATCATAGAGGTAGTAGGAGAGGTAAGCGAGCCGCCCGGGTAGTGCAGCAGCCTCATGTAGGCTGTCAGATCCACCGCCTACTCACCCACAATGAGCCCTTGCTGCAGATTCACAGGCTGTTTGACCTTGCCAGTAGGGATCACCCATTGACTCTTCTCTGAGGAAATGGTTTCCCACAGAGAAATGCCTCTGAGACAGTTGAGTTCAAATGTGGGACCATTCGAAACCATTGTCTCTATCTAACACAGTATACTATGTACCTCTGAAATTGCAACCCAGTGCCACTGATTTTCTCTTTTGCTTGAATTGATAATAGACTTTGGGTATCCAGAGTGACCCAGATTCATCTCCGGAGTATGGATTTAGTATTTATCATGGGGGATACTGTAGATTTAGGGGTGAGGAACAGAAGTGATATTTAAGAGAAGGCCTGGGCCTGGCGCTATGGCTCAAGCCGGTAATCCCAGCACCTTGGGAGGCCAAGGCGAGAGGATTGCCTGAGCCTGCGGGTTTCAGACCAGCCTCAACATAGTGAGACCTCATCTCTACAATACATCAAAAAATTAGCTGGGTGTGGTAGCATGCACCTGTAGTTCCAGCTACTTGGAAGGCTGAGGCAGAAGAATTGCCAGAGCCCAGCAGGTCGATGCTGGGGTGGCCTGGGTGACAGAGTGAGACTCCAACTCAAAAAAAGAGAGAAGACCTAGTATGTGGCAGGCATGATAAGCCTTTATGTATTAAGCTCATTTACTCATCCTAACCACGTTATTGAACAGATGAGGGAAGAGACTCAAGAGACCCCAGAAGATGAAGGGCTGAGGGCAAGCTGGGTCCATCTGACTAGAGACCCCCGCTCTTCCTGCTGTACCACTTTCTCTTGTTCCTACTGGGTCCTGGCTACTCAGAGCCAGCCCTGCTGGTGAAGTGTCCCTCCAGACATTGGGATGGGCTTCTCAGGCTCCATTCCCTTGGGTTTGGGGGATCCTAACCTTTAGGCTTAGAACTCCATCATTCATTCTGGTTCACCAATGGTACCTGTATCTAGAAATACAGTTTTCTAATTGCTTTTTGTTTCCTGAATACTCTTTGACCTTACGGAAACCCACAATTTATAGAAAAGGCAGCTGAAAGTTGAGGAGAACTTTAAGTGAACTGTCCTGTGGGTAGACTTGGCAGGGTTGTTACTAGAAGTCAGATTTCCCGACTCTTATACAAACCTAATGTGAGCATGTGTCAGAGTTTTATTTAACTCATTAAGGAGGGGATATGTGAGATGGTCAGGCTGGCTCAAAGAGCATTGTGAAAGAGCAAAGTATTTACAATGACTAAAAGAAAAAATACTTAAGATAGTTAAGGTAGGTGAAAAAACGACATAGTGTCCTACAGGGCAATAAAACTATAACTTTTGAAATTACTTTTCCTTCCTTCCTTCATTCCTTCCTTCCTTCCTTTTTTTTTTTTTTTGTCAGAGTCTTGCTCTGTTGCCCAGGTTAGAGTGCAGTGGCATGATTATGGCTCACTGTAACCTCAACCTCCTGGGCTCAGGCGACCCTTCTGCCTCAGCCTCCTGAGTAGCTGGGACTATAGGCGTGCACCACCACACCTGACTAATTTTGTTGATTTTTTTTCTTTTGTAGAGATGAGGTCTTGCTATGTTGTCCAGGCCAGTGTCAAGCTCCCAACCTCAAGAAATTCTCCTACCTCAGCCTCCCACCATGCTGGGATTACGGGCATGAGCCACCATGCCCAACCTGAAGTTATCTTTTCTAGAGGACAATTCTCTTGCATCTGTACCAGTTAAAACTTATTTTCTGAGGTCCAATGGGAGCCCCAAAACTTCACCTGTACCTAAACCACTTATGTACCCTATCCTGACTTGTATCCCACAACTTGAAAAATCCAGACAACCCCCCCTTATTTTCATTACTCCCTGAGAAGAATCATTTACAGTGCTCTCAGTTTTCACCAGTTAACATCTACGCTATTTACTATTTATGAGGCATGTTACAACTAGCCTAATAAATAGTATATAGTGTGCCAAACGAAGGTGCATGTACCTAGAGAAGTAGTTAATGGGGTTCCCAGTGTGGCTCTGGGAAGACATACAGGAACCCCTTTTGCCTATTTCCAAATTTTAGATAATTTGTATTAATGTGCCATGCATCCTTTTTTCACCCTGGTGTCAATCAGGGCACATAGGAGACATTGATTGAAAACTGAGTGAGTGAAAAATGAGTGGATAACAAAAAGCATGTATTCCAGTGGTAGAAAGACACGTTTCTTAAGACTATAACCATGGAAGAAATTCCGGAGGAAAAAAATAAACAGATGTGACTAATAAAAGAAACTTAAGATTTTGGTATGATTTTAAGGTAGTCCAGCTAAAGAAAAAGAACAACAAATAGGAAAACATTGAAATAAATTATGACAGTTTTATATTTGTAATATATGAAAATATATTACGAAGCTGTTATGACAATGATATGTGATAGATAAATTTGCCGTAAACACAAATTGCACAAAGGGAAAAAAATCTTAACCATGAGAAAATGTTTCACTCTGCTATTAATTAAAGAAATACAAAATAGGACAATCGTGGGTTTTTACTTATGAAAATCTTAAGAAAATATTTAATGATAAAACTGTTGGCAAAACTTAGAAGAACTGATGAATTTGTATATCTGTATGATCCTTATGTAAAACTATTTGGCAAGGTACATTAAGAACTATAAATATCTGAATAACACTTTTTGACTCAGTAATCTCATTCCTGAGAATTTCTCCACAGAATATGGTTAACAAAAGGAAAAAAAAATGTGAAACATGTTAATTACAGCGATGTTTGTGATAATGAAAAATAATCAAGAAAGGGAATTAAGTTGTTTTATCCAGCTAGAAGATTGTGAAGCCATTAGTATGGTAAACACAGAGGTCGTTAAATATGTATTTATTACTATACTTTGCATTGTAATTATCTATTATATTCCACTAAGCTGAGAGCTTTTCAGTGGCAGGGACCTGGTTTTTTTCTATCTTTATATCCATGGTACCTGGAATAGTGCCGGAAACCTAGTGTGTACTTTAATAAATGCTTGCTGAATAAGTAAATGAATACATGGAAATATGAAAACCAAGGTTTTTTTTGTAAAATAAATGAGCAGATCAGAACACAAAATTGCATACACTAGGATACAACCATATAAAATTTATCTATATGCGTGTGATCAAAGACTGAAGGTGAACAAAAATTGAAAATGGTTCTGTCATAGAAGATTTTTCCTTTAATGTTATAAGAATGCATTAAGAAGAAAGAAATCAAGACTAGGACAATGGGCAACCCCTCAGGTTCCCTCCAACTCTGGGAGCTTTTCTGTCTTTCTGTCTTCTCAATAAATCCTGCTTTCTAAAAAAAAAAAAAAAAGACTAGGAAAATGATTAATGCATTTCTGAGAAATATTGTCCACTTTCACCTGCCCTTGGCTGCAAGGAAACTACGTGTTGATAGCTAAAGGAGTGAAAAGAATGTTCACAGAGCTGGTACTAGGCTTTCCCAGAGGTCAGTAGGTCTCTGCCCCCACCCAGGATACCAGCCTCCTTTCCATTCACTTCCAGCTAAATGGCAGAATTCTTGCTGGGCTTGCTTTAAGAGGAAAAGGGAAAAATAACCACATAGTCTATGATACTTACATAAGACATAAGACTGGCCTTGTAATCCAAATTTTAAAAATCATATAAAAATTCCCTGTTGTTCCAGTGTACTTGTAATCTTGCAGATATCATGCCATTGTCTTTTTCTCTTATAATGAATATTGTATAAATGCTAATGCCTAGCTCTTCTGTAATTCCCACTGAATATTAAAAACAAACAGAAAAAAACCAAAATAAACAAAAAAACCCTTACATCACAGGGATAGATCAAGGTAAGGACATAATAACAGCTTTACAATACTGTAGAAATTGAACTGAGTCAATTGATAAAATATAGCATAATATATACATGCACAATATAATGTTTTATATGTATTAAGAGATTGATTAATGCTACAGTATTGCAAAGACATACACTCACATACACATACACACACACACACACACACAAATGCACACATATTGTTTTGCCCTGACAGACAAGTCTTAGGTTGATTGTGAATGTATGGACTAATTTTTTGAAACAATTGAATCAAGTAGTGGTTCCTAAAAAATGATATACATCTACCTTAATGTCTAATTTTAACTTAAAAATATCAAGCTGTGTATTCGTTATTTATCAATATGATATATGATATAGGATCAAGACCTTTTCTCTTGATATGGGTTTGTTGATTTGAGTTCCATCCTGTCTGTACCCATGGTGCATCCTCTGCATTCCCATTGGTTTCTTTAAAGTGGGTTGATAACAATATAAGTAAAGCAATTAGAGTACATGATCCTTCGAAAGGTCTGCAACCCCCCAAACTTAATCTCTTTTAGTTGTCTTGCTTACACTTAACTTGACAGCTTTTTTTTTTTTTCTTGCATCAGGGTCTCACTCTGTCACTCAGGCTGGAGTACAGTGGTATGCTCATGGCTCACCACAACCTTGGCCTCCTGGGCTCAGGCAATCCTTCTACCTCAGCCTCCTGAATAACTGGGACTACAGGCATGGGCCACCACACCTGACTTTTTTTGTAGCGATGAGGTCTTGCTATGTTGCTCAGACTGATCTTGAACTCCTGGGCTCAAGTGTTCCTTCTACCTTGGCCTCCCAAAGTGCTGGCATTATAGGCATGAGCCACTGTGCCTGGCCGGCAGCATTTTCTTTTTAATTTTTGCATCATTACCTTTATCCCTTCTCACCACTCTTTCTCTTCATTCCTATATATTTTTGTACTATGTAACCAAATGTGTGCTATGAATCACAAGCAACTGGCTTAAGCAGGTTTGTGTAGAAGCAGCCCTGACCCTTGGTAGAGCGAACAGATTGCTCATCTGGCAGGAGCCTATGACTATCAGCCCGGAGCGCTCAGCCTGAGCTGGCCACT